GGAAATTGTTTAATTTCTTCCTTTTCTCCTGTGATTCATTGGGTGTTCAGGAGTGGGTAAAGTTTCCAGATTTTTTAAAAAGAAAATTCTGTTTTCATTGTGATTTCTTCTATATTTACTTAAGCAGCCTTTGTGGAATAGTATGTGGTCTCTTTTGAAGAAAATTTCATGCTACCAAGAATGTATTGTTTTGATAGGGTGGAACACACTCTTTGTTCAGTCCATATGTGCAAGGATAGTGTTCTATTTTGATACTTCTTCACTGACTTGTTTTAGTTTATCTGTCTCTTTCCAAAACTGGTATATTGCCCCTCACTGTTCATGTTAGTGTTCATTTGATTTTTTATGTCCAGTGGTGTTTTATGAAGGTAAAGATTCAAGCATTTTGAACATAAATAATTACAACTGATATCTTCTTGTTGCATTTTCCCCCTATTATGTAGTAATCTTTGTCTCTTGTGAGTATAGTAGTTTTAACTAGAAGTTTAAGAGTAAAATTGCTGGGGCTGGGGATTGAGCTCAGCAGCATAAGCACCCACCTTGCAAGCAGGCAGTCATCCAGTACCGATTTAAAAAAAAAAAAAAAAAGTAAAATTGCTACCCTTGCTTTTTTGGGGCTTCCCAATGTATAAAATACTATTTTCCATCCTTTCATTTTTAGGACATGAATATTGTCATGGTTCATGTCTGTGTCCCCCAGCCCTCATGAGTTTGAATTGTGCATTTGTTATTCGTTCATTGTCTAGTGCTTGGATTGATTGTGTCAGTGCTCCACCCACATAGGGATGGAGCCAGGATGTGATGTAATGGCAGGAAGAAGGTGTGTCTTTCTCTTTGCTGGTATGAGCTTGCTGTTTGCAGTCGCCATGAACTGCAGCCCAGCCATGCCTGCCTGTCTTGTAGCCAACTGAGTGTGGACTGAAACCTCCAAAAACTGTAAGAAATAAACCTTTCCTTTCCCAACTTTGGGCTTCAAGTATTTTGTCTCAGCAACGAGTAAAAAGTAACTAAGACAAATATCTTTCTGGATTACATGAGTTTCTTGAACGTAACAGACTGTGGAATTCTGGATTTTGACCCAGTTTCTCCATCTGTCTTTTAACTGGCCACTGAGGCCGTTAACATTGAGAGTTTCTACTGAACGGTGTTATTGTGTCGTTGTGTTCTTTCTGTTTCTTTGTTTTTCCACTTTTTAAAGTCTATTCACTTTTCTTGATATATTCATTTCATCTAGATATTTTTCCTTTTTTTTGGTTTTGTTGTCTCAGTATAGGATATTTTAAAAGTATTTTCTGAAATATTGGTTTGATGTTCACAAATCTGCAGAGTTGTACTTTTTTATGGAATGTCCTTATATCTCCATCTGTTTTGAAGGAAAGTTTTTCCAGATACGTTAATCTTTGCTGAAAGTTGTTTGCTTTTAGGACTCCACATACTCGTACTTCAAGGTCTTCTGAACTTCAAAATTTGTGTTGAAAATGCTTCTATAATTTTGATAGGTCTGCTTTATGTGTTTTTTCTTGTTTTTGTTTTGTTTGTTTTTCTTTATCTGGTAGCTTTTAAAATTCTGGGTTTTGTTGGCCATTTGGAATTTTTATAATAATATACCATGGAGAATTTCCTGTTTGCATCATAGTTTTTCAGTGTTTTGTAAGCCTCACTTATCTTATGTTGAACTCTTTCTTTCTTCATACATCAGATGTTTTCTCTTATGATTTCTGTAAAAAAACTTTTTATTCCATGTGTGTTATCTTCTAGTTTCTCTTTAACTCCAGTTAGCCTTAGATTGGTCTTTTTGTCATTCTAGTAGCTGTTGCATGATTCTTTCTTCTCATTGTTTTTAAAGCTTTTTCGAATTATTTGTTGTAATTCACTATTTTGTTCTTGATTTCAGGGACCCACTCTTCATTTTGGTCATTTCTGCAATTTATTAGTAAATAACAATTTTTTTTTTTTTTTTTTGGTACCAGAGATCAAACTCATGAATGTGCATTTGCAAAGCAGGTGCTTATGCCGCTGAGCTAAATCCCCAGCCCCTATAAATAGCAATTTTTTTATAGCCAGTATTTTTGTCTTATACCATTTCATGGATTCTATACATTCAGTAAATTTGTTGTTCATATTTTGAACCATTTCAATCATCTCTTCCAGGATTTTATTAGTTTCTTCAACTCCACATTGGTTATTTTGTATAATTCCATAAACTTTTGGATCATGTCCTCTTTGAACTCACTAAGTTTAACTCTTTGATCAATTCATAAAGCCCTGCTACCTGTTGTTCACTTTTCCTCTCCGTTAGTGTCCCTAGTATCTGCCTTGGGAAACCTTGGGGGTCTTTTGTTGCCTGTCTTTTGTTTTGTTTTGGTTTATTTTTTTTACCACGTTCATGTGTGCATGTGTGTCTGTATCTGTCTTTATTTTTTGCTGCTTAGAGTTGAAGACATACAAGGTGAGGATGGTTGTAAATGAGATGAAGAAGTGGTTTGAACTCTTCCCCTGTGTTCGGAGGAAATAATTACTTCTGATTATAGCTGATCTGATCATATATCTTTTATGTGTGGTAACCTTTGCAATTATACTTTCACCCTTTATCAGTAGTCTTTGCAGCCCTTAATTCTCTTGCTATCAGCAGTTATTCTGCAGTGTGGAAGTAGAAGTGGAGGGATCAGATGGAGTGATAGGTGGTGAAAGGCGTGTAAGTTGAGAGGAGAGGTAGACAGAAATAACAGGGGTAAAAAATTAGATACGGCATCCGATTCTGTTGGTGATCTTAGGGTTAGATTGCAGGTTGATGTTGATGTTCATAGGGACAAGGATAGGATACAGGAGAAGAGAGTTGTACTTTAGGATTGAGGAAAGCTATGAGATTTTCAGGTCCTGTTATATTTGTGTGTCTGTAAAATAGAAAAGAAGCAAGGGAAGATGGGATACCTATAATGAGAAAGACCAAAAGACATGGAATAGAGAAAACAGAAGATTAATACAAGAGAAGATAAGAGTGATGAGAAAAAGCAGGATTAGCAAACTAAAATTTGAAAGAATTCAAAAAGTGGGAAAAACAAAAACTAAGAACTACTATGTAAACTTGAGTTGAAAAATGAAATAGACAAGAAGAGGGAGAGAAAATAAACACTAAGTTGAAGCAAAAAAAAAAAAAAAATCCATCAGGAACTCAGATCAAATAGTCCAAGAAAACCATACATGCGATTCACATGTGGCTCCTGTATCAAAAGCCTCAAGTGTTCACAGTTTTCCTCTTGCCTTACTTGTGGTCTGATTGCAAGAAACCATACCAGTTTCTCTTCTTTGTTCCTTTCACTCAAAACCCAAAGTAACCCAGCCTCAAGAATTCTCTTCTCCAGCTGGGGTACCTCTCAGAATCGAAGCCTGTCACTATTCTGAGCTTCAGAGATGCTCTAGTCTCCCTAGGCGTGCTTGCAGCCAGTGGATGTTCACAGGAGTCTGTAAGGGGTTTCGCTTGAGGTGGAGTGCACAGAGTCAGCAGGAATCCTGTAGGTGCCTTTGCTTGTTTTCCGCTGCTGAGGGCAGGGAGGGGGATTCACTTGCTCTTGGTGTGGGACTGCCTCCAGGGTGTATCATTCCCCAGTGTTTCAAGGAGAGGTGATGGGAAGAAGGTGCTGTCCTGTGCAGTCTGATCCAGGATGCCAGCCTCTGCAAGGCTGGTTTGTCCATTCCCTCAAGCTGTCCAAAACCCTCTCGTACTGACTGCTCCCCACAGAGATGGGAGCTGGAGCAGTGGTGGTTCTGTTTCCCCTCTTCAGTGATCCAGGGTTTGGTTTGATCTGTTGTGTATCATCTTTCTGATTAATATTTTGTTTTAGAGAGTAAGTATGTTCTCTACTAAGAGGACCTCTGACTTAGTGAATTCTCTGAACATCTCTGACAGGACTGCTCCTCCGGTCAGCCATCTTGGATTGATAGTTTTTCAGTCAGCAGGTTTTTGATGTACTAGAAGGAAAAAAAAATATTATTTCTCAGCCTTTGTGAGAATGAAAAATCACATAGATTGAGAAGTTGGTATTGAATTCTGCCCCCTTTTAAATTTGTTATTCCTTTATGACAAAGACTAGGATACCTGTCATTTAATAGAACTGCTGTCTGACATTTGTTTTGTGGCCATTTTGTGGTAGAAATCTTTATCAGAAAGGACTTATTAATAAAGATGAAGACAGTATTCTTTTTCTTAGAGCTGCCATAATAGATTACCTTAATCTGGCTGGTTTAAAACAATAAAAATGTACCTTCTCAGCTATGGAGCCAGAAAATGTAAAATTAAGGTGTCAGCTGTTGGTTCTTTCTAGAGGTTCTGAGGAAGACTTCCCCAGTGGCCTCCCTGTTTGTGGTGGCTGCCAGCAGGCTGTGGTGTCCTTTAGGCTGTACGTGTCTCAGTCTCCGTCTTCACCTGGCATGCCTTTTTCTGTACAGCAGCTCCTTCATCTTTAGGGGCTCCTTCTAGGACCCCTAATTCCTCACAGAATGTTCTGAACCCTCTATCTACTATTTTTCCTATACATAGATATATATATTATCACATATATTATATATATAGCTTAACTTATAAATTAGAACCAATAAAAGATTACCACAACAATAATAAGCTAAATGTATCATAATGCTCTGATCCAGTGATACTTCCTTTATTCAGTATTATTTTGAGATGTTTATACAATTACATGTATTCACTCTTTTGTTGATGTGTCTTTTCATTAACCTTTATTTTCTGTAATGAGTTTATAATATAAAACCTCTGCAAAGTTTAAAATTTTAACTTTTATATCGTTATTCTGAAAAAAAAAAGACTTGTCCCTTCTTAACACCCCTTCACATATAAAGACACCAATACTGCTTCAAATGAAGATTTTGTCTTACAATACTTGAATGCAAGAGTCTTCCAAGTGTAAAGAATGCAGAACTCTTAATTTGAAGTGGAAGAAAGATATAGAAAAGTCCTAAGTGATAGTGCTTGTATTTTGGTACAGAGAGAAGCTACATGAAGCCAATAACGAGCTGCAGAAGAAGAGAGCCATTATTGAAGACCTTGAGCCCAGATTTAACAACAGCTGTGAGTTTTTTCTGTGTAGCATTTGTTTTAAGTATAGCCATATACTACACTAGAAATGATTTTATAAAGAAATAGGCCCCATTACCTATCCCAGCAATTAAAGAATTCACCTTGTTTACAGAGTATATCCTTTCATCTTAAATTACCAGTTATACTGGTTATACTTATGAGCTTTCCTTAATTGTGGATTCTAATGTAAGTTAGCTAAACTTACACATCTATTTACCTTTACATCTGTAGATAGCTTGGTCTTACTACTTTATATAGGTGAAAGAACAAACTTTTACTTTTTAAAAAGTTCTTTGCAGCCCTGTGAATCAAACCTAGGACTTTACAGTGCTAGACAAGGCCTCTACTGTTGCAAAATCCCCCAGGACTTACCTTTTTAAAATTGTAGTAAAGCATAATAAGACTTAAACCATCAGGCTGGTTTGGGCTGACTTTGTATCCCAGGCTGGTCTTCAATTTGCAAGGTCACCTGCCTCAGCCTCACAAGTGCTGGGATTATAGGAGTGTGCCACCATGCTTGGCTAACATTTAAACTATTTTAAATGTACTATCTAGTGCTGTTAACCCCATTTACACTATTATTCAGCTATCATGACGCCCCATTTTTAAAATATTTTCATCAGTTTATGCTACAACTCTGTACTTCGTGAATGATAATCAATTCTTCTCTGCTATCTATTCTCTGTGAACTTGACTTTCTTAGGTAACTCATAATTACAATCATAACGTGTTTGATCTTATTGTGCTTACATATTTCTGTTAGCATAATGTCTTATTTTTACTTAACACTATGTTCTATGTTGTAGCATGTATTAGAATTGAGTGTATATTACATTGTATGAGTATACCACATTTTGTTTGTACATTCATCCATCAATTGAACTTTATAAGTTTATACTGTTCTATATTGGAATCTTGTTTATTAAAGAAAAACTTTTTGTAAAACAGATTTTTTGAATTGTTTTTAAAAACTATATTTAGTACTACACAGTCTCAAACTTTTCAATTAAAATACAGTTTTAAAGTTGTTAAAATATAAAAATTCTCTTTTAATATCTCCCATCTACAGCCTTAAAAATTGAAGAATTACAAGAAGCTTTACGAAAGAAGGAAGATGAAATGAAGCAAATGGAAGAACGATATAAAAAATACTTAGAGAAAGCTAAAAGTGTAAGTAAGAGGGAGTATGAGGGTAACTCATTGCAATTTCTAATCAACCTTCACTGAGGATTTGAGTGGGGGGGTGTTCGTTTTGAGACAGGGTCTCACTCTATAGTTCAGGCTGGCCTTGAACTTACTGTATAGCCCAGGCTAGTTTTGAATTTGTGGTGATCTTCCTGCCTTACCCTCTCAAGTGCCAGGATTACAGGTGTATGCCACCACAACCAGAGTAAAGTATTACAATGTAGAATGCATGCAGTATAAAAAACCAGAGAGTCGTTGAACAACACCAGCAACAACGAGGAGTGTGAACTAGAAGTAATGCTCAGAATAGGTCTCTGCAGAAATGTGTTACTGATAACTAAAAAGAAATTGTATCATATGTAGCAAATAAGTGCCAGTCACAACCGCGGTTAATAAAAATTAGAATGTGGTACTGTACACAAGTGCTGGTGCCTCTTTATGGCGTATCATGTCAGTAGTAACTCAACAGAATTTAAGCAGTCTTCCAGACCTGACTTTCAGCTGAGAGAAAATGAGGCTTTTGGGACAAACTCAACAGTACCTTCAGGGAAACCATCAAGTAAAACCAGAATTATACATAAAAGTGTCATAGAAAAAACAAAAATAGGCCATGGGACTGGCTTTAAAAAGCTCCACCTAATCACCAAATGCAGTGCACTGATGACTGAGTCCGGATTGGGAGCAGAGGAGGTCAGTTAAGAAATATTTTAGAGATACCTATGGGAAGATGGATTTGAACCAATTAATAACTGTTCTGTCTGGTTGTCAGTCTCCTCACTGATAGTAGTATTGTGGTTATGTGGAATCATGCCCTTGATCTAAGGCTATACACAGGTGAGTACCTCAGGGTTATCATGAGGTCTGTGGATTTCTCTAAAATAGTTCCAAAACAAGTGCTAGTATGTGTGTGTGTGGAGAGAAATCAAATATGGCTCTGTAGCAATTGGTGGCTCTAGGTTAAAGATAAATCTCTTTTTATTATTTTAACATTTTGATGGTAAAAGTACTGAGGAGAAAACTGATATTGTTAGTTAGCCAGAATTGCCTCCCACACCCAGTCTCAGCTATCAGCAGGGGAGGAGCTGGCAGCACAGTGGTAGGCTGATGTCAGCTGGGGCCTCTCCAGGGCCTGTCTCTTCATTGGCAGAGGACAGAGTGGGGAGCTGCCAATCCTGTCTACCAATTTTAAGTCAGGATTGCTTCTCGTAAGTGATTTTTCATCTAATTCAAAGTTGCAACTATTATTATTTCATAAATTTAGATTTTAAATTGTCTTTGTAATGTAAACCCTTGAGTCTCATAGTTTTAACTTTTTTTTTTTTTTGAAGAAAAGAATTGCTTTCCTAGGTGTTATACACTTTGAGATTTTCAATTTTTTGTTTGTTTCCTGCAGGCTTAGGGATTAAATCCAGAACCCCACACTTGTTAATGGAAGCAGTCTGCCACCAAGCTTTGCTCCTAGCCCAAGACTGTAAATTTTTCTTTCATTACTCTTTGCAGGTTATCCGTACGTTAGATCCTAAACAAAATCAAGGAGCAGCACCAGAAATACAAGCTCTTAAAAATCAACTCCAGGAACGGGACCGACTATTCCACTCATTAGAGGTAGTTTACTGTACTATACAATAAAATACTATTATTTTGATTCTTTATTATTTTCTAGGAGCCTCAGTGTGTTACAGGAGTATGTCTGTGATTTAGACAGTGATAGTATTTGGTTTATACTGAACTATCTTGTATGTTTATATGTTTATATGTGCTTGTTCTTTAGAAAGAATATGAAAAAACGAAGAGTCAAAGAGACATGGAGGAGAAATATATTGTTAGTGCCTGGTACAATATGGTAAGAAAAATAGCACTTTAGAACATAATGCAAAATTCACTGGATATTAATTATTTACTGTATTACCTTTACTATACAAGTAATTCCACCAAAAAATGAGAACGTTATTGCTGTCCTAACGCACACTAACAAAATCTCAGTGCCAACCTGAGGACTAACAAGCAGATATGATAACAGCGAGGGCATTTTGAAAATGTAGGTACCCTAAAAAATAGTTTGGTGTCAGCCCATGCAATGCAGGGAAAGGAACATTAATCATAATTGAACATAACTCTTCTGCGCATCACCTTCTGACCTGATTTGTGTACAAGACTCCCTGTGTGCCTTTGCAGGACTTAAATTTAGGACAACTTACCTGTCCCATGGGGTTTAGCGCATTTTCTCGGCCAAACCCTGCCCCACTGGGGCTCTCAAGTTGAATGTTCCAGCACAAAGCCCTGTAAACATACCTCAAGGAAAACTGAACATTCATCAACATTGTGTCTGGGTTTGAAGAACTGTAGCTTTGCAAATGAAGTACTTTTTCAGTATTTTTTTCCCAGAGTTTTTGTCTTCCTTTTCTTTTTGTTGTTCTTCCCAATGAAACAACTTCTGTGTCTGAAACAAGTAATTGAACCACGTTCTTTTCAACATCCTCTTTTCGCCCTCTATGTCTGTGAGCATAAAACCATTGTTTTTGTTTTGCAGTGATAATTGATACTGCCTCATAAAAGTAGTGTCCTTGGCCTAACAATGTGATTTGATCTCTGCTAAAAATTCATAAATTTCATAACACATCAACATTTATATTTTAATCTTGTCAAATTTGTCTTAGTCTTGGTCAATACTAAGATTTCATCACAACTTTTTTTTAGAAAAGAAATAATTTTGCATTTAGCATATTATTAACATGTAAATGTCTTAAAAATTAAACATAGAAACAAAACCACACACTGAATGAAGTTCTCTTGAAATTAATCCTGACATTTACTGTTCCTCTATTAATCTTAGTTATCTCATTCTTAAAGTTCTGTACCTCAATTCTTATTAGTAATCTTGGATTCTTGTATGGTTCCAGACACTGTTTCTCACAGAACCAGGTTCATTCTTTGACAGGTCACAGAGAGTAGTCTTCACCAGGCATGCTGGCACACTTGAGAGGCAGGAGGATCGCCACAAGTTCAAAACCAGCCTGTGAGACCCTGTCTAAAAAAAAAAATCAACCCCCTAAAAGTGCAGAGTCCTAATTTTTGCTCTTTAGAGAGTAAACAGATATATAGAAATTACGTTCAGGTTAGATAACCAGTAATTGCATCTTGCTACATTCAGAAAGCTCCATGGTGTGTCAGCAGCTGAGGGGGAATGGGGTTGGTGAGTGCTAGGAAGGGTATTTTGGTATTAAGGAGCTCAGAACGTGATGTGTATGGTAAGCTCAAAAGCGTGAAGAATGGGAGTAAACTACTGCGAGCAGGAAAGTGAAAGTACATTTTAAATAAGAATTTTATTACAGGTAGCTGAGTTACAGTTTTTTTGTTTTAATATAAGGAGATATTAATAAATACAAAAGGCATGCTTTGATTAAAAAAGCAAAATTTCATAGTAAAATAGACTAGCAATAGTTAATATACTGTGTCATAATCTTAAAAGAATTGGCAAAATGTTGGTCAGAAAACAAATTATAGACACAAAAGACTGTCTTAGCACAAAACTTTCTTTTGAATGAACTAAGAGAAACTAGAAGTATAAATGAAACCAATTAGCATATAAAATATTTTGAAACAATAATTTGAGGAATAAGTTGAACTTTTTATCTACAATTTTGCTCTTTATTAATTTATGTATTTTTTTAGTTTCTCATATAAGAGAAGCCATAAAATATGGTTTAAGCTGGTGTGTCTGACTACTTCATTCAACATTCCGTTCTCAACTAACTTCATTTGGGACTGGGGATGTTGCTCAGTGGTGCAGCACCTGCTTGGCCAGCACAAGAACCTGAGTTCAATTCCCCGTTCCAAGAAAAAAAAAGTTAAATTCATTTGCCTCAAATTTATCTTTGTTTATGCCAGAGTAGCACTCCATTGTGTCCAAATACCACATTTTCTTTATTCATCTGTTTATGTACACATATGCTGTTTCTAAGACCTAGCTATCATGAATGGTGCTGCTGTAAGCATCCGTGTATACATATCCCTGTAATATGATAACTTTAACTCTTTTGAGAAGATACCTACAAGGGGAAGAACTAGATCAAATGTAATTTCTGTTTGTGATTCTTCTGTGGACTCTCCATACTCATTTCCATAGTGGTTATACTAGTTTACAGTCTAAGGAACATGTAGAGGAGTTCTTTTTTACCTACATACTCACCAGCATTTGTTGTTACTAGATTTTGTGTTGATGATGGTCATTCTTTCTGGGGTTTCTCTGATATTGAACATTTTTTCATGTATTTATTGGCCATTTGTACTGCTTCTTAGAAGTGTCTCTATTTCAGTTGCCCATTTTTTGATTGGGCTTTTTATTTGAGGAGACTCTATAATTTTTTGAGTTTTTTATAATCTAGATGTTAATCCTCCATTCAAGGAATAGCTGGCAAAAAGTTTTTCCTGTTCTACAGGTTGTTCCTTCACTCTGTTGGTTGTGTCTTTTGAGGTAACTAAATTAAAGATTATGAATAGATGTCTGTTTTACTCAGATCTTTCAAGGTTGATTTGATTTCAGGTTGACATAAAGTTTTTCTGGTTTTTTTCATTAGGAAATTGTATTATATCTGAGAGTATATAATAAATTGAAATTATATTAAAAATGCAAAGCCAGACCAATATTTTCCTAGAACTAACTAATAAAAAAAACTTAGCTCTAGCCAGGCATGGTGGCACATGTCTATAATCCCAGTGCTTGGGAGTCTGAGGCATGAGAATCACTGGAAGTTCAAAGCCAGCCTGGGCTACATAGTGAGTTCAAAGCAAGCCTAAACTACAAGAACCTCACAAGACCTTGTCTCAAAAAGAGAGGGAGGGAGGGAGAGAGGAAGGAAGGAAGGAAGGATCTTCTAGTCTTTTGTGAATTGTTATTTCTTCCTGGATATCAGCCTCCACCACTTCCTAATAGGTTACCTGTGTCCAGTTGTTGGTAAGATTAAAAAACACCTCTCAATTCTTAAAAGTTTCTCCAGCTAGAGTTCTGCATTGCTTTATTAAAAATTACCAAAACTGTTCTTTTCCTGAACTGCTAGACTTCTGCCTTTATAAAATAATGTTATTTTGTTATTTATTTCTCCACCTTCCGGGAACACCCTATATTCACCCCTTCTGTGGTGGTGTTCTGGGGCCTGCACTTGAGCTCCCTCTCTCCTCTAAGATAGTCAGCGATCCTTATGTCTTCAAGAGAGACCCCTTTGCTCTTTTTTGGGCTCTCAGGAATGGGCAGGTAGGAACTTTTCTTATTTTGTTTGTGAATACAAGTCTACCGTGAAGTGAAGAAAGACACAATCATAGTAAGTATAATACCTAATGTGGCTTTTCAGCATAAGAAATATTTGCATCAGGGATTTCCAAAACCCATGTTAATCAACTACTACCAATCAGTTACACTTTTTTTTCTTAGAAAATCACATTATACATTTAATTTGAAGAGAAAATACGGTTAACATATTCTAAAAATCCTTCCATTATCTATTGTAAATTCAAAGAAGTAAGCCTTAATTTCTTCAGAAGAGTGGCTCTTCATTGTTGGAACTAAATGCCACTACAAGATCTTAATCTGTAATAGAATTAATAGTGTTAAACTGCTTTACTATGCAGTGTAATAAATTCTGCGTAATGAAATTTTCTTCTGTAAGAATATATTCTATTTTTTCATTATCTTTTTTTTTAATATATTACAGGGAATGACTCTGCATAAAAAAGCAGCTGAAGATAGACTAGCTAGCACTGGCTCAGGCCAGTCATTTCTAGCTAGACAAAGACAAGCAACCAGCACAAGAAGATCTTATCCAGGCCACGTTCAGCCAGCTACAGCAAGGTAGAGAAGTCTTGCCGTTAGAAATAAACAACCTGCATAGAAGCATACTTCTGTTACATAGAACAACATTTCAGGAAACTCAGCCAGCTTATTTTTTGTTTCTCTTCTATGTCAGTATTTAGTGTTTCCCATTTGAGGACTTTTTCTCTCTCTGGTATCTTTGTTTTTTTGTTCTTTATTTGTAGACATTTTAGTTCCTTTTAATGTGCCAAAAATTTGTAAGTGTCCAATTAGAAGTGTTGTATAATAGTGTAGCACTTTTCTTTGTATGGAAATGTTCTCTTCCGCAATGGTGTAAGCTTTGTATTGAATTACATTTTCTGCCAATAATTGATACACAATTTATAATCTTTATTGTGCTTATGTGTTACTGTGCTTTATAAGAATGTCTTTGTTTAAAGGGAATTGATCTTTTTATGATGTATTAATCTCTTTTCACTTGTTTTCCAAATGCACTCAAGTAACTTACATATTTACTACGCAGAATGATTGACAAGCGCACTTTTTGCAAAGACTTAAATACATTGGCAGAGGTGCTAATTAAATCTTTCCTAAGGCACCTGGCAGAATTACTTAAGAGGGGAGAAAATGAGTTTACAGGGAGCTAAATTGTCCTAAGATTTGGAAAAAAATATATGAAATTTTATTATTTTGTGCTATTCTGTTTGCTGGCAGAAGTGAATACATTGGTGATGTTATTTGGGGGAGAAATGATAGAAGAAAGAAATCAGGTAGTACATTAATTTTTCCTTACTTTGAAATAACTTAGTAACTGAGGTCAGATTCAAGCCATTTGCTTTTCATTTAGACTTTCAACTTTTTTCCACAACTAAAGGATTTCTTTTTCATATACTTATGGTTATTGGGAGCTTTATCTGTTAGGCAGTTTGTTTACGTGTGTCTCATTCGTTTTACTTTTATTCCTGCATTTAAACTTTTCCATTTCTCAGTAGTTATGCTACTTAACATTTTCCTATCAGCCATTAAGATCATAAATGACTTCGTTATGTGGTATTCTGATAGATCTCTTCATACTTTTTCCTGGTTATATCTACTAGTCCAAAAATTTGTTATGAGTACATTTCATTGGGTATTTGTTGGCCTCAAAGTGCTTATAGACCATATTTATTTACATTGACGGGTGATTGTCAAGAAACCATTGTAAAGCACTTCCTCTGTTAAGGTGCTGTGTACATGTGAGATCTCTTTTACTTCAAGATGAAATGCCTTTGCTCTAACTTTTTCCATACTAGTTCTGTAAATATTTGGTCCCAAATCATATTTAACTGCCTTTCCAGCCTTTTTCTTACACCATAGGACATTTCTTAAAAGCAAAACAATCCTCAAATTAGGTCAGTTTTTGTTTGTTTTTACATAGGTCACTTAATATGATGATGATATTTCATTCAGTAGCTATTTGGAAATTAAGGTTTCATTTAGTTCTGTGTATTACATTACAAATAAGTAATTTAAAACAAGCTTAGTGTAACTAAGAAATTTCAAAAACTGTGTTTGATTTTAAATCCTACTTCCTCCTTTATAAAAAAGTTAACTTAGAGTGCTTTTATTCTCTGAAATCATTCTTAAATGTATTAGAGCATACACAGAGATGATGCCATGCACTGTGCAGTTTTCTACGTCATGTGAAACTCTGGGCACAGTATGAGTCCTTTTGCCCACTAAGACCATTAAAGTAGCAAGGGTTAGTAACAGTGGAGAGAGCCAAGTAAATAGAATGGTTGTAACGTTTTAAGAAGACCCAGTCAACATGTCTGTCTGTATGTATGTCTGACAGTTTCCCTGTGTTGCTCAGGCTGGCATCATACTCCTGCCTCAGTTTCCTGAGTACCTAGAATTGCAGGCATGTATCACCTTGCCTGGTGAATGTAGCAGATTTTCACAGTGAAAGGTTCTTTAATGTAAGAGGGTTCTGACTTCCATCTTTATTTCACAAATAGCATAAAGATTCAATCATTTTTAAAGCAGATGGGGATATGAACATTAATCTTGATAAAACTTAAATTATTGGGAAATTATACCCACCGAATAAGGTCTCCAACCTGCTTATTAAATGAATTATGTCTATAAAGTGAGAGGCTTTCATTTTCATCCTGTACTACTGCCTATTCCTGAACTGTTCACACACCTATTCATATATTTTCTAAGGGATTAGAAAAGTGTCAGCCTTTGTAGAAGGAAGTTTTACTTTGCATATTCTTTAGCATCTGCTGTCTGCTAGAACTATAGTGTTTATATTTATAACTTTTACTCTTTTACTGTACCCTTAAAGTTTGGTACATTATTTTCATTACACAGAATGAATTATATTTCTAAACATTTTACATGTTTAAAAACAGGTCAGGCGTGGTGGCGCATGCCTGTAATCCCAGCACTCAGGAGACTGAGGCAGGAGGATCACTGTGAGTTCAAGGCCAGCCTGGGCTACAGAGTAAGTTCAAGGCCAGCCTGAACTGCATAGGGAAACCGTGTCTCAAAAAGTCAAAAGAAAAAAGAAATAAAAAATAAAAACAAAATAGGCTTTTATAAGGAGTACTATATGAATATATTTTAGGTGTCAGAAACCAAGAACAAACTAGGCTAGGGATATGGGTAGAACGCTTGGTATGCAAGGTGCTGAGTTTCATCCCTGGCACCAAAAGAGAGCCAAGAATAAAATGTAACTCTGACAGTAGTAGTCTTTTCCTTGTCCAGATTTAGATGGGATTTATGATGTTTGTGTTTCTTCAGTAATTTCTCAGGGCGTTTGTGGTAATGCATACTCTGTCTAGAAGTTCAGAGATGACTGGAGCAGCTTGGTCTAGACGGGAACTATACTTGGATATGTTTTCCTACACTCCTCGCATTGTTGGCTTCCCGAAGCCACAGTGAGCTTGAGTAGTGGAGGAATCTGGCGTCGGTGGAGTCCATGCACTGTCATTGTCTGCGGTGGGGTAAGCTGTCCCCACAGCACCTGGCTTTCACTCAGAAAAGCCTGTGTTGCTTTTCTTCTAACCATCATGGGAGAGTCAAGTCAATAAAGAAGAACATTAATATTTATGTTCCACAGTGTGCATTTCAGAAGTTAGTAATAGAAGAATCTAGTGAATACCATTTTTCATATCTGAAATGAGATCATGCCCTTGCATATCTTAAAAGAACTTTAAAAAATTGAATTGAATTTAACCATTTGTTGAGTTACTTGCTAGTACTGCAACAAAGAAAAAGGCGTTCCTAATAAAAGAACCATGTTTCAGAATTTATCATTAAAGAATTATTTCTACTAGATATCTCTAGCCTGGCAAAATTTGTTTAATGAGATGATTAATTATAATAAGGATAATACAGCTTTGATTTTCTTGAAGTTTTAATATTTTGTTACTGATAAAACCTCGGTTGTACAAAATTAAGCTAAATATTTTTTGATCTGACATATTCTGTTTCATTAATTCTCACAAAGAAATGAAAATCCATGCTGTGCAAAGTAGAGGATTGCTAATTAAAGGATGAGTTAGGTTGAAGGAAAGACAGATTTTATTTGAGCCACTTTACTCTTTTTAGTAGCAGTTTTAAGTCTTAAGATGTGAAATATTGTTGAGTGTCTGCAGCTGCCATTCAAGTACCCATCTGTCATTTCAATGATAATACCATGTTTTAAACTTTAAAATCTTTGCCTCCATGTAAGAATTATCTTACTAAAAATCTATATTTAAAAAAGATTCCTTAACTTTCTGCATTTAATCTCATGTAGCTACTCAGACCTTTTATTCCAGGAATGGTACAATTATGCAGGGTTGGGAAACATGCAATTAATTGATCTGAAAACATCCACAGCTGGTACAAATTTGCTACTTTATACCCATGTGGATAAGAGTATCTTTGATCCTAAAGTGTTTGAACTCTTGCTTTTTGCTAAGGCAAAATAAGAAAATATGAATATTATTATAAAAAGTATTTTGCCCCCTCCCCTTTTTCTTCGGGATGGGGTTTTTCTACGTAGGGAGTTCAGCCTGGCCTTGAACTCACTACACACCCCAGGCCGATGTCAGACTTGGAGTGGTAATTCTTGCTGTGGCCTCCTAAATGCTAGGACACAAGCATGCACCACCTTGTCCAGCTGACTTCTTATCTTGTATCATAAGGGGAGATTTTTGCCGGAATTGCCATTTAACTGATGTTGTGAAGGCTATGTGGTACTGTAAAGTAGGATGAAAGAATATCCTGAACACAATAAAACGAGATGGCAAAATCCATGGAAATTATTTTGTCATGGTTTTTATTTTTCTGTAAGTTAAAAAGGATTTCAAAAAAGTAAACTTTTTCCTGTAGCCTAGTCAAAATGGCAACTTCTCTGGGTAGTTTATTCAACCCAGTTTGAAAATGGCTTCTAAATTTATTAGGATTATTGTTATCCTTATTTTTAATTTTGGGAGTTTTGTTTTTGTTTTTTGGGGGCCCTTGCTATGCAGCTTAGGCTGGCCTTGAACTTCCTGTGTAGCCCAGACTGGCCTTGAACTCATGACGATCCTCCTGCCTCAGCCTCCCAAGTGCTGGATTACAAGCATGTGCCACCATGTGGCTGATTTATAGAGAATATTTAAATAATTGGTATATGTTTCTTTTATTAAGATTTTTGAAAATTTTTTCTTCGTTGTCCAATATTACCACACAATAAAGTTCTAGAGTTTTACAAAATAGAAACCATTCTCAGAAGCCTACATATTGTAAAATAATTTGCTGCTGACATGGCAAGTTTCTGTTCTTCCCCATTCCTCTGAATTATGAAAGAGTAGCACCCTTTTTATAAAATGAAGGACAACATAAATATAATTGTATCCATCTCTTTTAAATCACTGATTATGTTCTTGGGAAGTACATGGTGATTGGTAATCCAGTTCACATGCATTATGTTTATGAATATAAAACAAAATCTATAATTAGAACCTTTAAATCATGGATTCTTCCCATTGAAGCAAAATAAGAGAGATGTGACATTGTTTTTTGACCAAGAGACCTAAACCAAAGTAGGTCCACTTTATGAGTTTTGGCAGTTGTGGGTTCCATAAGTGCTTCCCTAGAGCCGTGAGTGTGTACACACACATATGTATGTGCATGTATTTACATATTCAATATTATTTGCTGTCTCCAGTATTCTTCTGTTTTATATTCTGTAAGGTTAAGTTTACATATAGTGTATAAGTGAAAATTGAAGTTAACAAAGCTGTTAAGGCACATCTATTCTGGAAAGTAGAATGGGGATACTGCACTAAGAAGTATCTAGGCAGTTAAAAATACTAACAGTGAAAACTTAAACTGTCTTATAATAGTTTACATAAAATCTTACTTGTTAAAGAGTATTCACACGTCTAATTTCTAGTTGCCCTTCAGTGAGTATTAACCAAGCGTGTATGTGTTTAGTTAACTGTAACTGTACTATAATGTAACTGTATGTGTTCATTAGTGCCCAGAAAATTATTTTTTTAAGGAAAATTATTTCATTGTGAGACAAATGATTACTGTATCTGTGATGATTATTTCAGGCCATTCAAAATGCTATGATGAGATGAGGAAAAGAAAACCTGTGGTGGCTGAAAATAATGGCCAGCAGTCATCAGAATCTGCCTTTGTCCAGTGTACACGCCATTAGCTAAATTGGATTTCATTACATGTGGTAGCCCCACAAAAAGAGTACTATTCAGAATAAAGACAAAAATAAAATTCTTAAAAGCATATTCAAAGTGAGCCACTAGGTACATGATACATTACCACTAGACTCAGAATCAAGATTAAAACAGAGGTGTCTGTAGACCCAAAATTTTGGAATGATGAGGCTCTCAAACCCAGAATTATATCTTCCCTGAACTTAAAGGAAAAATTAAATACCATAAAAAAGAGCAAACCTCCAAGAACTCAAAATATGCTGAGGCTTCAGTGTGCCATATATGCATAAAAGCCTCTGAACAAGCTTTATCATGTGAGAGCTCTAATCTGGGAAAAAATAATATGGTAATAAGTACAGTATTTGTGTTACAAAATGAATTTTTTAAAAATGTTCTTGATATATTTATCAACCTATGGACACATTCTATAGTGTTTATATATCAGTATTAGAGAATGAGTATCTTAATATTTACTGTTATTTTAGTCATTTATATGTTATTTATACTTTGCTGCAAAATTCACAGCACTTTACTAATACTATTGTTTCTTTCTACTTTTCTGTGTTATTTTTTATTAATATCTTAAATTCAGAAATCTGAAGTTGTAAACCTAGAAATGTGTAGCTGGATTGGGCTACTGGGCATGGGTTACTTCTGACCTGTCATATTAGGAAGCTTCCATTGTAATGTTACACAACAAAATCCAGATATTCTGAGATGCTAATACTTGAAACTTTGGTTTTTAGAGTTGGCTAATAAAACAAAACTGTTTTCTGGTTAGGCATAAGATTTTCTTACCTTTCTTTGTACTGTCTCCAAAAATATGAACTTACAAAGTGTCCCTGACTAATAGTTTCTTCATCGTTGCAAATACGCAGAGTAGGAGAAAGCAAGCTACTGTCACATCAGAGAATCTGAAAAGTAGTGGAAGTAATGGGAAAAGGCAAAATGCCAGAATACCACAAAAAACATTCTTAGTTTTATAGCAGATTCATCTTTGGTCTTGGCTCTTTTCCTAAGTTCATACTGGACAAAATTTTCAGTTTGCTGTATTAAGAGATTTTTTTAAGTGCCAGAAATTTTCTGTTTATAACATGAATGTATTAATATTCAAATCATAGACCCAAAGTACTGAAATATTTGTTACATAAACACAGGCATATAGTTACCTCCAAAAAATAGAAAGATTTGCTTATGGGGATATTGTCTTGTTTCATTTTTTTAGATGAGATGCTCATTTTTGATTGTATAAAAGTTTCTGAATTGGGGTTGGGGGAATAGGTCAGTGATAGGATACTTGCTAGCATGTATGAGACCCTGGCTTCCGTTCCCAGAGTCTTTCTTAAGCCAGTCCACCTAGAAGACAGCAAAAGTTTCACACACAAGAACAAAATACACTTTTAAAATCTAATTAATTGTTGAATGAATAAGTCTCTTTCAAAAAGTGTTTTAACTTTCACTGGCTCCCTATTAATCTAAGTAAGAATTCATTAGCAGCCAATTCAGAACCACCAGCCACATGTGGCAGTTCAAATGAATTAAGTCAAGTTAGAACTTGAGTCCTTGCATCCCCACTTGGGGAGTGTTCTACAGGTGTAAGACATTCCCCTCATTGCAGAAAATGTTGTTTGCCAGCACTTGTGATACACAGGAGAGGACAAAAACAAAGGCCGGCAATCAGTGTGACAACTCATAGTTCAGCACCTACTAGAAGAAGGCTTTTTTCTTATAAAAATGAGCCTTTTTAGAGGACCCTAGAACTTGAACTCACTGTGAAGCCAGTCTGGCCTTAAATCGCAGTGACCCTCCTGAGGCAGGAGTGCTGTGATTACAGATGACCACCACCACGCCCAGCCAAATACTTTTCGGTCATAGCCTCCTCCTCTTAATAACTTGGATCATGAATCAAATTGTTTTATATATAACTTTCACTAATAACTTTTACCAAGCATTTACTAATAGAATGTGATTTAGCTAGTGAAAACATTTCAAAGTATCTATTGTAAATTTACTTGGTCTGTTACAAAATGCTGAATGTAGCTAAAATGATATACTGACATATCTTTGAAATTGTTTTGGTGAAAACAAGGGATTTGTGTGTTGTCACACATGTAAGCACAGGGATCTAATCCAGCACCTCCCTCATGCTAGGCAGGCATTTTGTTAATCATAACTCTTTTTTAGTAAACTTGGTGCTTGGTTAAAAGTACCCTGTTAGGAAGTCACAAGACTTCCCTCTTCCTGTTTAAAGTTCTATAATCGGACAACAGAATTGACCTAGTAGTGTCAAACTCCAAACAATATATGTTGAAATTCTTATGTATTCCAAATATAAGTGGGTGAATATTTTAAGAGTTTTATTATTTTCTCTGTGGCCTGATTTAATGTGTGTTCTACAAAGACACATAGTAGTTAAGGAAAATTTTCACTGTGGTTGAAATTTTAAGAAGCCTTTTACTATAAATACAGGAAATGACTGTACACAAATGCCAATCCATGATTTGGGACCTTTTAATTTTTTTTTTAAATCTTTTGTTTTTTATTAGCCTTACTGATTCAAATGCACTAAAATGTCATTGCTGTCACAAATTTTGCTGTTTGCAGATTCTTTATAATTGATAATGGTTTGGACTTTAGAAAATAATTTCTAGGTTATTTTGCAATTTTACATATATACAGTTGCCCCACATTTATAACACCTACTTTTTAATTGTATAATAATAAAATTCAAACACTTAGTAATTTACTTTGATTTCTAAATTTAAAATATCAGAAATTTAGACACATATAATGGACTTACTTCCCTGTAGTACATTTGTAACTTTTCAGATGAGCTGGAAAGCACGTTGGTACATTGGAGTTGGAGTTGATTACCATCCCAGCTCTAAAGCCTTATTATTCTGATGTCTTAAGAAGTATTGATTGTTCTGTGAATTGTTGTTTTCATTCACCACTTTTCATTTTAGCCTTTGCAAAATGTATTGCTGAGTACATTCTTATTTCCTATTGACTATTGAATTTATAATTCTATAAATATTCTTTTATAATCAAGAATGATGTCCACTCAGGACTCTGAATTCCTCACTTCACAAATGAGAATACAATATGGATCTACCAACATTGTACATAACAGTGCCCAAGCATTTTTTCACCTGTTCACCAAACACTTGCTATGTATTGAAATTGTTACATTTCTCAATCATTTTTGAGGTGAATTGACTTGTTAGAGAACGACCGAAGAATTGTAACTAAAGCCACAGATACATAAAAGTCCAAGAAATCATCAAAAGATGGATTTCTTAGTGTTTTTATTTTTAAATATTGGATTTACTTTTGGTAATATTTTTTCATTTTAATTTGATGATTGTCAGTTTGTTATGGTACTATATGTATGTGTTTATGTGTATGCATATAATATATGTATATGTATATGAAGAATAAAGTTAAGATTTGGTCAAACTATATTTTCCCATTCAAGTACAAAAAATGTTTTCAAGGCTGCAAAAAGTGTACAGTTGTTAAACAAGTTGTAAATAAAGACTTGTATAAAAATTTCACTTCAATTTTTGTTTCCTTTTGCTCTTAAAATATATTTGATAACTGATTATATTTTTCTTCCTGCCTCTAGTACTTGCCAGTATACTATCAATTTAAAGATTATATCACTGACACACCTATACAATGTAAATCTTTAAAAAAGGAACAGACACAAATACTGTTAATTTTTTTTAGTTACCTTAAAATCGTAAGGTAGACACACATGAGCTACTTCTGCAGCTTGTCCCAGTGTACGGATGTAGTAATGTGAGGTCTGTTACTATTTGTGAAAGTTAATTGGAACGTTTGTAAGTCAGGGTCTTGCTGTGTACTGTAATTAATACCGCCCAGCCCATAAATCCAGCTCTGTGTCGGGAACGGGTGGGTGGACCACCTGCACCTATTCCTTCCCGAAAACGTTCGTTTTAGAAGTGTGGATAAGCCACGGTTAATGTCCACCACATGCCCTTACTATGTGCCCCACTTACCTGTTGATCAATAGTTAAGTCGCTACACTTGCAGCCTTACTGGTTAATCGTGTACCCACATTTGCAGTATAAATTACCCCTGACAAAGCGCCTTAGTGGCAACCCACTTTCAGGACTCCTGTCTCTCAGGAGCAATCTCTTGATAAATCTTTCGTATTCTAAACTTCCATTGTCTCCTGGAATTCACTTTTTCCATTTTGAGGGACACAAAGTCGGCATATGTAACATCTAGCAAGTAAGGGGTGATATTTTGCCCATATCAAAATGAAATCTGGCAGCGCCAGGGATTTAGCTCAGCACCATAGGCGCCTGCTCGAGGTGTGAGAGTGATCCCCGGTACCAAAAAAAATCTGGCTTAATAAAATCTTGCACTGAAAAAAAACGCAGGAGCATAAAGACCTTAGAAGAGTCCCAAAGTCGAGCTCCGCTGAGAAGAAAGCGTGAGCCAGGGTTTGTGTGACTCCGCAAAGGTAATGGGAGCTGACTCTGTAGGCGCACTTCCGCCTGTGAGGGCTGTCGGGAAGCGCGGCGCCTCCGTGCTTGGACTTCCGGGTCGGCAGGAAACCGGAACTCAGGAGCACGGCGGGGCAGGGGGCGTGGTTCCGCGCCACCCCGACCGCTACGGACCGGGGTGAGATGGCGGCCACCGATGTCGGTGAACCTGCGCAAGGCGACGAGCCCGCTCAGCCGGAGCAGCCGCCGCCGCAGCCTCACCCGCCGCCGCCGCAGCAGCCACAGGAGGACGAGATGGCAGCCGAGGCTGGGGAAGCCGTAGCGTCTCCCATGGACGACACGTTCCTGAGCCTGGACTCGCCTACCTACGTGCTGTACAGGTAAGGCGGAGGCCAGCGCGGCGGGCCCGCTGGGCGGGGGCTCAGGGCGCCGGGCGCGGCCTCTCTCCAGCACTGCGAGGCGTGGCCGAGCCGGGCGCCCGCCTCCCTGCGGCCGCCGCTGTGGCGAAGTACGGAGCGTGGCTGGCACTGTGGCGCTTCGGCCGCCGGGGTCCGCACCTTTCAGAAACCTGGCGCTCTCTTCTGTGCTTCCGGACGCTGCCTAGGTAGTAGCCGTACGAATTCAGAAACATTAGCGTACGGTTTTGGTGGCGTACCAAGAGGAATTTTTATTTTTAAAATAAAAGGGCCACCTTTGCTTCTTTAAAAAGGAACTGGAATCCTTTGCGTGATTCTGCTGGAATAACAGCTAAAGTAAGATCTTAAGGACTGAGACACTTTGATTTAACACAGAGTCTCAGCTAGGCATCGAAGTAGTCTGTAAGCTTGAATTGCCCTAAAGTCAATTATGTAATGATGCACAGCCTCATCTGCAATATAAATGATGTTGAGGTCCTGTTGTAACTTTTTGCCTCTTTTCCCTACTTCCGAATACCCCGTCCCATTGCTGTCTGTCCGTTGCTTTCAGATAGTGATAGGATTTTCTAGCACCTTGTCTAGCTCTGGCAAAGACAATCCAAAATTCTTTCGTTCTGCAGTTCTAGCTAAACTGCATTTGACGGCTTATTTGCTTGATTTTATGAAATAGAGAAGGTCGCAATCCAGACGGTTTATTTTTGTTTTGGAGTTAGTGTTTTTACTGATTTAAATTCGTTTTGGTGGCCCATCACCCTCTGTATTGTGAAATATTTAGTTTCTTCCTATGACTGTGTCTGATTTCCCAATGACAGCCCGCTTTCCATGCCACTCCCCTGAAGCTGTAGGTTTCACATCTCAAGCCATTGGATCCCTGTATTTCTTATGTATGTGTCGTGAACACAATTTAAAGGTTGTATGACAGATACTTGCTGTCGAGAACTCATCAATATACAGAAGTAAAGTGGGTGAAAGAAAAAGAATACATGGTGTAAGAAAATTATGGTAACCAATAAAGATGTATCGTATTGCAAAAAAAGGCAAATATGAAGAATGCTTACATTTGCAAAATATTATTGGAGTAAAAGACACATCAGAATGCTCTCCCTCCATCCAGACACTTGTATCATACTCTCCCTTACCACTTTCTGAAGCAGTTGTGAGAGTCCTGTTTCCGAGTGTCCTGTCAAGTTGTATGATGCTGGGCACCAACCCTCAGGGAAGAAGACTTCAGGGTGGTTTAACAAATTGGGAAGAATGTGTTTAAAGTGAGGGGAAGTGGGATTAATGGTAATATGTCTTATACAGTAACGAGTTTTTATAAATTTTAAATACTGTCTTAGTTACTTTCTTATTGTGTCGACAAAATATCTGAGCCCATCAGTTTAATGCAGAGAGTTTTTATTTTGACTCAGTTTATAGAAGTTTCAGTCCGGTGTCAGCTAGCTCCGAGTAGAGGCGGAGCAGCACAGCGGCTGGAGAGAAGGAGCTCTGGGGAGGCAGACTGCAGAGGGAGCTAGACCTTTCCAGCCACGCCCATGGTGATTCACCTCTTTCCTCCAGGCTGCTGCTTCCAGCATTGCAGCACACCAGTCTAGCAGTGCGGATCATCTCTTGTGAAGAGTGTAGTGGACTAATCAGCGATGAGCGCCCCACACCCATGAGCCCCCACCAATAAGTGCATAACATTCACTGTGTTTCAGTCACCCCTTGTGTAAATAAAAAGATGTTAAAATTTGTTCACACTGGGAAATTCATGTTGAACAAGTGTGTGTTATTGCCACTATACTGTTTCTTTAGCACTGACAATGAGTAGTAGTCATTGAATGCTTTTCTCATTCTATGCCTGTTCTAAAAGAAGACAGTGAGGGGCTGGGGATTTAGCTCAGCGGCATAAGCGCCTGCCTTGCAAGCAGGCGGTCGTGAGTTCGATCCCTGGTACCAATAAAAACCGAAAAAGACCAAAAAAAAAAGAAGACAGTGAGGCTTGGAAAGCTTAAGTGATTTTCTGAAGGTCACACAACTAGTGAGTCATATCCTGACTGAGGCCTTTCCTCAGGTTCCAGAAACAGCTGTCCAACCTGTTGTGTGAGCCCAAGCACCAAGCTGCCTTCTCAGCCCTTAGCCCAGTGGTGGTGAACCACAGCATGCATGCTGCAGCAGTTGTTTGGTATTGAAAATTACAGACTAGTCATCAGTGCCTTAGAGCCTAATATACAAATGATCACCTGGGCCCCCTCGGTAGTGTGCACCAAAATGTAATAATAGTGCTTGATTTCACTTTAAAATGCAAGTTGGTAGTAAGCTATTCAAGTTTTAAAAAAATACACACCATAGAGAGTGTAATGAGACTAGTGAGTAAATTGATTTCTAAGTTAAAACTGCTGTATACTTGCTGCAAAAACAGGTTTTGCCACTTATAAAACTTAAAATTTGAAATCTGTTGTCTTACAGGTTTTTCAAATTTTTAAACTTTCTAAAAATTTTAGTTTATTAGTATGTATGTAGTCCGTGTTTATACTCCTTGTGTGGAGTTGCTGGAGCATAACACATCATGGTTTCCTTTTCATTTGTATCCCTCTCCTGCCTCTTCCTCCTTCCAGTTCTTATACCTTCTCCTTTGAGAAGGCTCTATCTCACTGTTTCCTATTGTCTATTTTATGAGCTTCTTTTAACATTCCAAGGATTGTTTTATTTTAATTTTACTTTAAAAGTTTAATAAGTAAAGCAAAATGGTAAAACCTCAATGATGATAACTTTTAAGAACCTTGAAAATTGCTAATTTTAATGCATGAGTTTTGTCTTTTTAAAAAATGCTTGAGTTCTTTTTTCTTTTAATGTGTTTGAACGTAATCACTGAAAAACCTGTACATTTTCAGGGACAGAGCAGAGTGGGCTGATATAGATCCAGTGCCACAAAATGATGGTCCCAATCCAGTGGTGCAGATCATCTATAGTGAAAAATGTAAGTTTATTTTTATTATGAAAAGATTTGTAAGTCAGACTTGGTTGCATAGTTGAAATTCATAACTATGTGGCAAGGTAGATTTTCATTTAATAAGGGTCTCAATTACTTATGAGGAGTTCGTTTTATGGTTTCACGAGCTTTTTGTGTGTATGTGAATAAGAAGGCCCACAGTAGAGGGGGCAGTAGAGAAATCAAAGTTTATGTAAGAAATGGTATCAATTTTATTAACATTTCCAAAGCTGATCTCATTCCCATGCAGGTGATGCCTAAATAACCCTTATTCGCAAGGTCCCTGGGCCAATGCTATCCTTTTCTTGTCTTTTTTATTTCTTCAGTACTAGGGATTGAATCTAAGGCCTTCACACTGAGCTGGATTCCCCAGCCCTTTAAAATAATTCTGCTTTTTAAATTTTGAGACAGGGTCTCTGACTTGTCCAGGCTGGGCTCAAACTTGAAGGGCTCCTGTCTCAGCCTCCCAGACTGCTCGCTCAGCACGTGTCACTGTACACAGCTGGAAGTTACATTATTCATCAGCTCAGCTTCTCCAGTCTGCAGAAGCATCTGAGAACAAACCCCCACCGAAACTGGAACTACAATACTGACTTGCCTTCAAGTACACAACTCTTAACAGAAAGTAGCTTCCTTCAAAGTGGGAGTCCTGCTGACTAGTTAGTCCTTGGCGGAGGCGGGGTGGGTCA